GAAATAGCTTATCTGCAAGAGAAAGAAGAAATGTCAGCAGAAGAATAGGCCTGGGCTGGCTGTTTCTGGCTGTTACCCTTGTCGCTGTCCCAGGGAATGGGGCAGGCAGGGTGCCTGGCCAAAAAAATATTAATCAAAGTTTTCTCCAGCCCACACTGTTTGGATGATTTTGGTGTCGGGGAGAAATCCAGATTTCCATACTGCTCCCCCAGTTACGAGCTGGTTGTAAAGCAAAACCATCTCAGCATGGGTCATGCCCCCCCAGCAGGTTTTTCCTATCCCTGGGGAGCCCCACATCCCCCTCGGGGTTGGTGGGAATGGGATTTCTGTGAAACACCCCAGATTTGAGGGTGCTGCACCACAGCAAACATTAGATCCACCCAAAAAGGGTTAAACCCCCTTAAAAGGTGACTTTTACCAACCAGGGACAAGCTGCTTAAATCCAGGCCCCTCCAAACCAAGGCCATTCCTCCAGGAGGAAGAGGGTTGGGGTTTGCTTCTCCCAGTCCTTAATGAGCTGCCGCAATTAAACTGAGGCAATAGGCATTGTCTTTGGAGTCTGGGCTCTGCTGGGAATGCCAGGAAAGATCCTGTTTGCCAGACTAGGGTAGGAAGGTGCTGGGATACTGGAAGCCTTTTAAACCTGGAGAGCGCTTGGTAGGGTGAGGATGGGTCTCTGTTACCTTTCTAGGGTGTCCTAGCAGCTTCCTCTGTGATCACCCAGAGGATGGGGATGCCCGTCTCAAAAATCTGCATCCCCCAAGCATGGCTTAAGGCTTTTGGCTACCCAGGAGGTTCCCCTTGGGCTGGCATCATCCCTCTGGCTGCAGGAAGCATGATGTATCCCCAAGTTAGGGATGAGAGAGAGTCCTCAGGAACCTCCTTTTGTCTTTTCCAGGTGAGGACACTCTTTGTCAGTGGGTTACCTCTGGACATCAAGCCCCGGGAACTTTACCTGCTCTTCAGGCCCTTTAAGGTACCAAACTGGGGAGGGAAAGGGGTTTTGGAAGCATGGGGCTGACCCCATGGCCCCAGTCACCTTGGAGGGATCTGGGAGCCCACTGGTTCCCCCAAAAAGTCTAATTTGGTCAGTTTATTCAGTTATTTAATCATGGGGATCTCTATCAAACACTCCTTTCTATCATTTCCTTGCAGGGGTACGAAGGGTCTCTCATCAAACTCACCTCCAAGCAGGTAGGAGCTGCTCCAAAGGGGGCAAGCGTCCCATGCCATGCTACCACCATCCCCTGGGGTGAAGGGGTCCCAGCCTGCTCCCAGCCTGATGCCTTCTCTCCTTTCTCCACAGCCTGTGGGCTTTGTCAGCTTTGACAGCCGCTCTGAGGCAGAGGCAGCAAAGAACGCACTGAACGTGAGTGTGCCTGGCCCTGCTGCTCCGTTTTTCCTTTATTTCCCTCTGCCCAGATAGTCTCTGCATTCCTCCATCCTGAGGATGTGCATCTCCCATGCTAACTGGCCCCACTGGCATCCCCATCCCTCCAGCTGATCCCACTGCTGTTTTTCACTTGCATCCTCCCTCCCAGGGCTGTGCATCTCTCACCTTTCCCAAGACCATCGGTTTGCCTAGCAGCAGTTTTGGTAGCTGAAATCAAGGTTTTTCTTGTAGCGTATGCTAGTTTGAGTTACAGAAACACACTTTTCAGGTGTCAACTGCTGTCATCCAGGAGGGCTTGAACCCTCAGGATTAGAGCCTTAAATACAAATCAGCGAGAGACACCATTCCCAGCTTCTGTTTCT